TAAATAGAAGAACTTTCTATTAGAAACTAACTAACGAATAACGTAGTTAATACTAACTAATTTACGATAGTAAAGTCGAACGAAATATACGAGTAGATTAAGGATTTAATTACTTAAGGAGTACTAAAGTTTCTATCTTCTCTAGCGATAAAAGTATCTATCGCTAAGTATATAATCGATAGTTAAGGAAATATATACTTTCGTAGAAGACTATAGATTTTAAACTTAGAACCTTTATATATATTCCTAATTTAGAAAACCTACGACTTAATAATTAGCGAATACTCTAAGTAGAAGGTAATAAGTTCTTTAATAGTAAGATAATTCTTCTAGCCGAATATACTATAGAATATTCGATAATTTATACGAAACTATAATATTTACGAATAAATAAAAGCCTAGAGAAAAAGGAAATAAGAATTCCTAAAACCTCTCTCTATATCGAATCGAATATAGAGCGAGATATCTATCGACTTTATTACGAAGCTCCTAGAGAGTCGGAGCTATACGAATTTAGTAGTAATTACGAATCGACTAGAAAAAGGAGTTATCCTTAAATCGATATATATAATTAAGTTTTAAGATATAGTATTCCTATTTCTACGTATATTCTATAGAACCTACGATTTACCGAGAACTATCGTATCGAATAGAAGAACCTAGTTTATAAGCGCTCTATAGAAACGAATATATTAGCTACTAGATATCGTACGCCGATTATCTACTATATATTACTTTAAAACGAACGAATCTATAAAACGAATAAATTAGACGATAGAGACGTACGTACGTACGTTTATAAACGAAGCCTAAGATAATTAGGTAGAGTTACTACTAATTACTAAGTTAGTAATTAATAATAGGAACGCTTAATTAACTAGCGTAAGCCCTTTCTTTCTATCTTACGAATATAATATCGACTTTATATAGCTATAAGATAAGCTTCGCGAAGATAAAGAAGGAAATAGCCTAATATAATAGAGCGAAGAAATCGTACGAAAACTCTAGAAGGCGAGAGAATAAGCTTAGACTTCTATAGTCGTTACTTAATAAAAGTAAGAAGAGATTATAAATCGTATAAGATAATAGTCGATAGAGTTTCGCGTAGGCGATAAGGTCTAGCTCGACTTAAGGAACGTACGTATAACGCGAAAGAATAAGAAGCTCGATTAGAAGAATACGAAGTATATCGTAACTAAAGTTATTAAATTATATAGCTATCGTTTTAATATACTAAAAGGAATCTATAACGTATTCTATTCGAACCTATTATATATAATATCTACGAATCTATTACCTTCGTAAGTTACTAACGATACTTAATCGAATTCTATCGTTATATAGAACGAAGAAGAATACTAGATTAAAAGGATTATTCGCTATAAATTCGTACGAAGAGGCCGAAGGTCTTAAAGCTAGTACTTAGTAAAATAGACGAAATATATAAAACTAATCTAAAAACTAGAATTATTACTCTAGAATATCGTAGCTTTAGACGCGTACAAATCGATAATAGAATAGTCGACTTTCTAATTACTATACGAAAGTAAAGAGAGAGTATATACGAAGGAACTATAAGAATAATAAAATATCTAATTATACTATATATATTTAGCTTATTTAGTTATTATACGATAAAGTCTAATCGCTATATTAAGGTATAAGCTATAGTTAGATATAGAGAATATTCCTTATCTACTAGAATTATACTAGTATTAATATTAATACTATACGAGGATAAAAGAATAAAAGAAATATTATACGTACCTACCGCTAAGGAGCGGACCTTTTTATAACTATTTCGCCGAAGCGAGAAGGAGGAGGAAAGAAGAGGAAAGCCTTACGAATAGAGAGGAGAGCGTCGTCGTTATCGAATAAATTCGATAATAATACTATAATACTACTATCGTCGTCTTTATCGCGCTTCGTATAACGAGAACCTCGATTTAGTTACTTATAATTACTATATACTCTACTAAAGTATTTTAAAATACGACGATACTCTAGAAATAGGCGTATCGAGCGCTTATAAGGATTATAAAGATCGAAAAGAATACTTCGGCTCTAAATAAGTAAGGTATTAATATATAATAGTCGATACGATCGAACCTATACTAGAGTAATTACTCCTCGTACGAAAGGTACATTAGTTTCTAGTATAGCTAAGATCGTTCGTTAAAAGGTATTATAGTAGTACGATACTAGCGACTACTCGAAGGTAAGAAAAATAGAGATTTAAGTTAGCGCGAACTATTCTAACTAATACTAAGTTATAGCGGCGTCCTATACTACTAATACTATATTATCTTAACTTTTTTATTTTCCTATTAGTACGTATAACTAAACGAAGAAGTCTAGAGCTTAGAATATAGAAGGTAGATTTAAGAGGAAGAAATAGATTAGTTCGCTTACTTATTTACTATATCGACTATTAGGGTATAAGAATTAGTAATAACTAATAATTATATATAATAGAAGTAGAAATAAGTACTTATAAAACTTTCTCGATAATTAGTATAAAAGAAGAAAAAGTAGAATAAAAATAAATAGAAATAAGAGTTTTATTTTATACGCTACTCGACGCCTAGCTAGTTTCTATTAAGAGTAGTAGCTTCTTAGCGCTATACGAAGAGAAGAGGAAAGTAATATTACGAATTAAATTCGTATAAAGCTCTAGAGTACGCTCTAGAGCGATTACTTATAGTATACCTTTAGGCTATATAACTATATAGCCGAAGCTACGTAACTCCTTCCTATCGATTATCTTCTAGGAAACTATACTAATCTACTATAGGAGAGGATAGAAAGTATTTCCTTTATTCGTATAGTAGATAGATTTTCTCTTTTCTTTTCTCTCCTTAGCTTTAGAATCCTCGTTATACGATAGTTAGACGAATTACTTTAAATTCCTAGCTAAACTCTTATAGACTTAGTCTAGTTCGCTAGCCTTAAGTAGTATATAATTAAACTCGACGAGAAATATATTAAAGGACTTTTCGTTCTACTTTAGTTAAGAAAGCTTTCGTAATACTTTCTCTACGACGTTAACGTCCTCGTACGCCGCCTTTAATTAACTAATAAGTTCTTTCGTATTTATTTCGAGGATTAATTATACGAAATTAATCTACGAGTTAATCTAGATAAGGGCGTAGCTCCTTAGTCTATTATAGAAATACTAAAATTATACGGCTTCGATTTTCTTTTACTTATTAATCGCTAACTTAGCTCGAGCTTAAGTAAACTACGACCGAAATTCTAATCTTTTTCTATTAAATTTAGCTAGCTCGAAGAACTTAGTCTTTCGTCGTATAGAATCGGATTCTTATATAGCGCTCGTCGTTATAGAAGTCGTTACTTTAGGCGTATAAGCTCGTACTCTATTCTATTAGCCGAGTTAATTCTCGAGTACTATTATCCTTTAATTTTAAGCCTATAAGAGCTAGTATAGCTCTACCGCCTACGCTAGGACGATTTTCGTTAGTTACTAATCGTTATCTATTTCGTATACGATACTCTTTCGCTATATATAATCGTAAGCTTTAGAATAATATAAGGGTTTAGCTAGAAATTTAGAGTAATTTATTTAACTACCGTATAACGAGAATTCTAAAGCTAAGGAGAGAAAAGAAAAGAGAAAATCTATCTACTATACGAATAAAGGAAATACTTCCTATCCTCTCCTATAGTAGGTTAGTATAGTTTCCTAGGAGATAATCGATAGGAAGGAGTTATATAGCTTCGGCTATATAGTTATATAGCCTAAAGGTATACTACGAGTAATCGCTCTAGGGCGTACTCTAGAGCTTTATACGAGTTTAACTTATAATACTTTACCTAGAGAGTATAGTTCGTAGTTAACTTCGTTAGTAATTCTATACCTATATTTTAGGATATAGTTCGACGAAAGTATATTTCCTTTATTATCTTAGTTAATACTCTAGTACCTACTCTATTAAAGAACCCTACCTTAGTTAGAACTACTTATAGCTCGAATTATAATAGTTATATTCTAGAATACTTCGATAGTACGTATAATAACTATAAATAGTTAGACCGCGGTATTCGTTATACGAAGCGCGATAAAGACGACGATAGTAGTATTATAGTATTATCGTCGAATTCGTTCGATAATAACGACGCTTCCTCTTCTATTCGTAAGGCGCTCCTTCTTCCTCCTTCTTCTCCTTCTCGCTTCGGCGAGTTAGTTATAAAAAGGTCCGCCTCCTAGCGGTAAATATATATAATATTTCTTTTATTTTCTTATTTTTATATAGTATTAATATTAATTATCCGAGAGATAAGTTTTAGGATCTATAGTAGAAGTAGCCGAAGACCGTAGAAAGAAGGAGTAGAATATATAGTCGCTTTCTATCTTATTAAATAACTTAAGATCTATCTAAGTAAAGGAGTATAGGCCTGTTTTATATAGGCGTAGGCTCCGTCATAATATCTCGTAAGTACGAGAGTAATTACCGAGCATTCGTAAATACGAGTTAACTCCTAGGATGCTTAGAAATTAAGTTAAGTAATTTCTAATCCTATAGAATAGAATAGCGTTTTATAGAATCTTCCGTAAGGCTTAAGTATAGCCTTACTAAATAGATACTACGTAATCCTAGCTTATATAAGCCTAATTACGTGACTAGGCGTTAATAGGGTATCGCTTAGCCTTAACATTAATATTAATATAATTCTAGTTATTAGGGTTTAGCTAGGAATTTAGAGTAATTCGTCTAACTATCGTATAACGAGGATTCTAAAGCTAAGGAGAGAAAAGAAAAGAAAAGAGGAAATCTATCTACCGTACGAATAAAGGAAATACCTCCTCCTCTCTCCTATAGTAGATTAATATAGTTTCCTAGGAGACAATCGATAGAGGGGAGTCACGTAGCTTCGGCTATATAGTTATACGGGCTAAAGGTACACTACGAGCGATCGCTCTAGGGAGTACTCTAGAGATTTGTACGGGTTTAACCCGTGACAGTTTTACCGAAGTCGTACTAGAATACCCCGCCCTTCCCACCGCGAGGAGAGCTGACCACTATATCGCCTAGGCGGATATCATGCTTGCGGCTTGGCGCGCCGCCACCAACGCCGACCATTAGGCCGGTTCTAACGTTAAGAAAGCTATGAAGCATATCTCTTGCGACGCTTGCAGTAGAGGATATGCCGTACTCCCCATTAGGTAAGACAGCGATGACAAAATTGTGGCTTCCAACCCTACCGAGTGTGTAGTCATTACCATCATAAGGAGCCACGTATTGAGGTTGTCCGTACTTATCGTCGAGAAACGTTTGCGCGGCAACATACTCCGTTGGTATAGCATAAATCCAGCTAATGGTATAGTCCAAAGGGTCAGACATGTTCACGAGCGTAGAACTACAAGTAAAATTCGGGAGACGAGGCCTTAGGCGAATTCGGCTTGGGAAGCTCAGTTGGATTTGGTCAATATTGTTCGAATGTCTCTTTTAGTGAAGTCCGAAGTCCTAAACTAAAAAAATCCAAGCGCTCGGCACGCCTCGCCAGGAGTGGGAGATTCGGATAGTGCGGAAGCCTGATGAAAGAAAGAAGGAAGAGAATATAGTGGTGATATAGTGGGGATATGGGCACTGATTTAGCCTCACCAGCTGGAATCTAACCCAGACCAAATACAGCTCAACCGCAGCCTCAACCGGTCTACTTGCACTTGAACTGCCACGTCTATTTGCACTTGTGATTTTGATTGGACCTATCAAATTACAAGCAGACAGAATTTTCGCCAAGGTCGATTCAGTCCCTAGCAAGACCGACTTTTATCCTGGCTTGGGGGGAAGTATGTATTGGAAGAAGAAGGGGAGAGTGTGGAAGTTAACATGTGCTGCCCCAGACAGGATTAGGCCCCGAGCCATGCATGAGCGATGCAAGTGGCCTAAAGCGCTGGCTTCACCGGTCACAACAAGACGAAAGGTGATGTGCCAAAGGAGGGCGGGCAGCCCGGGTACCCCCTTGTGCAAGTGCGAGTCTTAGTCACCGCTATCATTCAAATGGAGTCCTTTCATTGGCTAGGGGTGCATGAGAACTAACCTGACCCATGCTTTCGGGGTATTATCCATTCCAATCATTCGTCGGCACTTCTACGAGATGTTTTGATGCCTACATCTAGGAACAAGTGGTGCTCTATAGTAGGAATGCAGTGCCGAACGGTTACGGTGCGTACCCTCACATGATGTCGTCGGAGCATGCCGATAGCGTTTAATTAGGTCCTTCTAACCACGTGGTCAACTATAATAACTATACAGCCTTAACTTAACTTGCGGCTTCGGTTTCTGGAGTTGTAGTTGTAGTTGTAGTTTACTATAGTGTCTCGTTCATACTGCAAGTCACTAGTATCTAGGCAGGCTCCGCATACAGTATCTTCAATTTGGCTTATCTATGGTTTATCTTGTCTCCGTCGCGGTAATGGTCGAGCTCTATGCGGATCAGCAGAACTTTTTAAGCTATGAGAATGGTTGCCTGCTGCTAATTGTAGATCTCATGTCCTATAAGCACAAGGTCAAACGTGAGGGGAAGGTTGTCGAAGAGACTTCCATTCCTCAAAGGGCGTAAGATGAACGAGACCACCCTATATAGTAGAGCTTGTAGCCTCCAAGCCTCAGAAGAGGTGGCAAATAGGTATGATACTAATTCGAGAATATTCTTACCCTATTTGCTGTATGGCTATGGGTTCAAGAGCTGGCTTCTTCACTACTCATGTGACCAGCTACGATCTCGATTTCATGGGGAATAACTCTAAGGAGCGAACGGGCGGAGCGAATAAGTTTGCGAGCGAATGCCAAGTAATGTAAACTAGGCCTAATTTGGCCGTAAAATTAACCTATTTTATATATCCTACTATTATTCATCTATTTATTAACTACACTATCATCGTAAGACCTCGTCGATAAGGCTAAGGTTTAATAAAGCCTCGTCGGCGTTAAACCTAGGCGTTAATGCCACTCTAGGACCTCCGAATTAAGGTTCTTCCGCTCTATTTTACTGTCGCTCCTAGGACTTAGGAATTATCCGGGGGACAAGGTTTAGGATCTATCGTGGAAGTAGCTAAAGACCGTAGAAAGAAGGAGTAGAATATATAGTCGCTTCCTATCTTATTGAATAACTTAAGATCTATCTAAGTAAAGGAGTATAGGCCTGTTTTATATAGGCGTAGGCTCCGTCATAATATCTCGTAAGTACGAGAGTAATTACCGAGTATTCGTAAATACGAGTTAACTCCTAGGATGCTTAGAAATTAAGTTGAGTAATTTCTAATCCTATAGAATAGAATAGCGTTTTATAGAATCTTCCGTAAGGCTTAAGTATAGCCTTGCCTAATGGATACCACGTGATCCTAGCTTATATAAGCCTAATTACGTGACTAGGCGTTAATAGGGTATCGCTTAGTCTTAACAGGAATAAACTCCTATTATCGACCCTAGTTAAATTTAGTAGTGTAGTTCCTCCGTCTCTTTACTCTACTAAGTACTACTAGCGTAGTTAACGCCGGAGGCTTATTTAGTATAATCTATAGCGGAGAACCCTCTAGCGAGGGCTCGCGCCGTAGCCGAGGCCTCTTAAGGGTAAGGATTACTAAATCTAAGGTTTCTAGTAGAGGAGGACTCGTAGGAATAACCTTAGGTAGAGGAGGAGTTATAGAAATAACCCTAGGGCTTATAGGAACGTCCTAAAGAGGCGCGCGCCTAATAAACTCTATAGTATCCTCCTCTTTATTAAATAGTTATTACTCTATCGCCGCGCGATCTAATAACTACTCTATCTTTTAATTAATTAACTACGATACCTTATAACGCTCCTATTATAGCTATATTAATCGATTTTAGCGGCGTTATCGCTCGTTAACCTCGTTAGTAAGTAATGCGCGTTAATTTATAGGTCCGTAAGTACTACGCTTTACTAAATAACCCTATCGGCGAGGGTCTAGCGCGTCGAATAGTACCTATTGTATTTAATAACGTCGTTGCGCCGCGCGTAAAAGGCTTTATAGCTAGAGAGTCTTAAAATAAGTAATTTAACGCTCTACGTTTACGGCGTCCACCGCTAATTAATAAGCTTCCTACGAATTAAGGAGACCTCGGATCTCTACTAGTTATTTACCGTCTCCTAGTAAATTATCGTTACTAGTACTAATAGCGGCGGCGGCGGTATTAATTAAGTATTAGTTATTAGATAAAAAGGCACCTAATTAGATAAGTAAATAGGGCCTCTACCTAGCTACTAACGAGGATAAATAAGGGTCTTTAGAATAGCGGAACCTTATAAATAAGCCTTCTTTAACTAGTATCGATAGGTAATACTAAACCGTAGAAAGATCTTATACTTATAGACGCTAATTTCTAGTATATTAAGGTCTCCTCCTCCTCTTAATATTATATTTAATATATTCTACTCTCTTTCTAGGCGTAAAATCGCGTAATTCGATACCTATAACCTTATTTATAAGAAGGTAGGTGTAAGAGTATAAGTAACTTAACGAGAACACTAAGATAATCGATTAATTACTATATAGT